CGTCCTTCGGAAAGGGAGAAGAGATGGAAAATCGGTCATTAAAAGGAGTCACGCCGATTTCAAAGAGTCCGGAGGTTGGCTCCTGAACTCCAGAATTTTCTCGCCTCGAGTCTTTGAGGCGCAGAAGGAAGCCACCAATCCCTTGAGACCTCAGATTTGGCCCCAGGCCACGCACCATGGGATCGTTAGTCTCACGCTTTTCTGGAGTGTGTAGATCGGCTGAGAGACAGCGTGGCGTAGTAGTTTTAGCGTTGTTTGTTGTTGTTGTTGTTGTTGTTGTTATGTGCCTCCAATTTTTTCCCGACTTATGGCGACCCTAAGGGGAACCTATCATGGGGTTTTCTTGGCACGATTTATTCAGATGAGGTTTGCCATTGCCTTCCCCTGAGGCTGAGACTGTGTGACTTGCCCAGTGGGTTTCATGGCCAAGTGGGGAATTGAACCCTGGTCTCCAGAGTCCTAGTTCAAACCTCTATGCCACGCTGGACTACGACTCAGGAAACTGGGGTTTGAATGCACGCTCAGCTATGGAAACCCACTGGGTGACCTTAGGCGAGTCATACTCTCTCAGCCTCAGAGGGAGGCAAAGGCAACCCCCCTCCACCTTTGAACAAATCTTGCCAAAAAAAATCCCATGATAGGTTTGCCGTAGAGTCGCCATGAGTCGGAAACGACTTGAAGGCATACAACAGAAACAGATCTGTTAACAAGGAAGGCAAGGAATGCTTGGTTTGGAGATTTCTGAGTTGTTTCTTCCCCCCCTCTTTCCTTTTTGAGAGTGGGGGGGACACACGGAGATCTAAATTGCAATTCAGTTTAAATTGAATTAGGCTGGAAGTGCTTTTAAAAATCGGTGGCATTTGTCAAGAGCGACAATAAAACCAGTCACAGTGGGAACAAACAAAATGCCTCCCTTTTGGAACAGAAACAATTCAGTAAAATGCGGGAGGATCCTTGTTGCGGCTTCAGACGCAGACATTCAACAGAATAACTTGTTAATTTATTTAAAACATTCACATCCTGCCCTTTTCCGACAACACTTCGTTATTTATTTGTATCAAACCGATGATGGAAATAAAACTTCTGTAAGGGCAAGCGGCGTATTTCTCCCAATTTGGCACAATAGATTTTTTTTTTAAAAAAAAAAATTCAGATGTAAATAAAATATCACTCTATAGTAAGGCTTTCCAAATGGTTAAAAATATCACGATGTAGTAGGACTTTCCAAATGGTTTGAGTGTATTTCGAAACTAAAGGTGTCGATTTTAATTCGAAAACGCAGTTCTACAAGGATAAGAGGCTGCTGTTTCCATCTAGGAATAATACATTGATTTTCCTCCCCGTAAATCTCATTTATTTTCGTGGAAACGACGGAACACTGCCTCGATTTTTACGTAATTTTACACATTACCCTTGATTCGGAGTAGATTCAGAATTGTGTCCTCGTAGCGAGTTCATGAAACTGGACGATTTTTTTAAAGCCTGATAGAGCCTCGACCATTCAAACTGAAATTGAACCGACTGAACCATTTAGAGCCATTCAAATTAAAATTGAAAAAGTGAGCCAGCGTGGCTAGTGGTTTGAGTGCTGGATTAAGACTCTGGAGACCAGGGATTGAATCCCTACTCAGCCATGTAAATGCAGTGGGTGACCTTGGGCAAGTCACACTCTCTCAGCCTCAGAAGATGGTAAGGACAACCACCTTCTGAACAAATCTTGCCAAGAAAACCCAGTGATAGGTTTGACTTAGGGCCGCCACGACTTGAAGGCAGCAATAACCATATGAAAAATATATTCTTCGGTTTGGGGTGGGTGGGTGGAGGACTCCAAAGTGAAGATGAGGAGGCCACAGAGTGACCAGATGCCCTCGCTGCAAAGGAGGACCAGGCCCCGCAAAGTGGAGGACATTGAAGAAAAATGGAGGATATGACAACATAAAAGCTAGCAACACTCATAAAAATGTAAATTTATGGTTTTCAGTCAAGCTCCAATTGGAGGACATTTTGGAACTCCTCCTGAACAGAAGGTTGAAATGGAGGATATGTCCTGGAAAAGGAGGACGTGTCTGGTCACCCTGGCCTCTTCGTTTGACTGTTTTCTTTCCGTCTCCGCCACCTTTTTCCGCCCGAGGTCCTCCGAGGGAGGAGAAAGGCTTCCATGGCTCGGCTTTTCAAGCCTGAGGGGTGGCTTCCCTTCTTCTGAAAGGGCCACTGGTCTCC